ACCCGAATGGCGACAGACGCGCGCCTTCCTCCGCATGAACCCCAACCTCTCCGAAGCCGAAATTTCTTCTTATCTTCAAGCAAAGCAGCAAGATCTTGACCTGCAGTCACGATGCAATCAGAAAAAGGGACTACACTTGAGTTTTTACTCCAATCCAGAGACACAGCATCGACATCCACCAAAGTATCCATTCTGCCATTTCTGTAAGAAACCAGGACATACTTACCAAAACTGTCGTAGCCGTCATCAAAATCGTCGCAGCACTTCACAGCCGTATCATCGATCGCATCAGTTACCAAAGACACAACAACCACAGCAGCAGTTAACGTCTCAGCAGCAGCAGATGCCGAAACCGCCGCAGAATCCGTCGACGTCTCAGCATCGCCCGCCGGTCTTCGCATCTGCCACATCAGGAAAAGGATTTTTCGGATGTGTTACAACAGTTGATGTTTCAGAAACAGATTTCGAGACACGACTTGAAGAAACCACAAGTGCTGAAGGCATTCCTTTACCTCAAGTTTATGCTAACCTTGCTCGAATAATTTCAGGTCCGAATACTTGGTATCTCGACAGCTGCTGCGGTTGGCACATGTGTTCCGCAGAAACAAGCTTCATTACCAATCAGCGTCCCCTTTATCGTCCGATACCTGTAACAGTTGCAAACGGACAAACCATTATGGCATGAGCAGTTGGGAGTGTCATGCTCGAATCTATCGACACGGGATACTCACTACATGTTACCAATGTTCTTATTGTCGCTGGCCTTGGCTTCAATCTTCTTTCCACGGCTCAGCTTCTGGCACACAAGATCCGCACACAGGGCAATTGTGAGACGATGGATCAGGAGCTCTGGCACAGTTCAACAAATACTTACCTTGGTCGTGCCGCCACTCAACATGGCGTGTCCGTTCTTCAGTTCGCAGCACAGGGAACTTCTGGAGATTCTGAACGCGTCCTTGCACTCGGTCCCTGGGATCACCCAGAAGAAACAGATTATCAACATGTGGATATTGACTTTCAAGCAACTACTGTACCAACGACTTCTCGAACTGCAGCCGCCGTACTTACCGCGTTGGATACCTGGGAGTTCAATACCGCCGATGAAAGCGCCACCATGTGGCGAACGTTTTATAATACCCGTGCAGCCTTCCAAGGAACTCCAGCACCACTTTGGGGGGAAATAAGTGGTCTTGCAGCTGATGAACCTGACGTCGTTGAAGAAGCCGAAAAGGAAGAGGTCGCTGAGCAGCCGTCTTCACCAGTAGCTGTCGCCGAAACGCCTGCCACAACATCAACAGAAGCAGTATCAGAAGTTGCAATCACAACTGTAGCAGCACCTTCGCATGTCACGTTACCACTTACACGTTTCGTCGAAGGAGAGATTGACAAGTCACCAGCGCTATCTCCTTTCATTATTTCTTCTTTTTATACTAACTCCGATTTCTACCTGCGATCATCAGGACACAAAGCACCAGAAGATATATGGCATCAACGGTTAGGACATCCATCGCAGGGGATTCTTAATCATTCAATACGAGCAGCAGTTCTGGATAAAAGCAGTCTTCTATTACCTGATGGCACGGAGATGAAGCCACAGTCTCGACCGACGGTTTGCACCACGTGTCCAGTTGCCAACCTTACGCACCATCCATTTCCCAGTCATTTTCCTGGATCAACCCGTTATAAACTGATGCGGAAAGTCTACAGCGACATACTAAACTTACCTGAGGCAGGACCTAAAGATGAGAAGTACGTCATAACATTCATTGAAGCAACTACACGCTATGTCTGGACAGCAAACCTTCCTGCGCGCCATCTCGCTCACTCCGTCTTCGTCGCGTGGCTCGCTGTAGCTGAACGAGAGTCAGGTGTGAAAGTGCAAGAATTTCAGAGTGATGGTGTAGGGGAGTACACCAGCAACACCTTTACAAAATACCTTCAGACACTCGGCATCAAACGGAAGCAGGCACTGCCGCATGCACATCAATAGATGGGGGTAGTAGAAAGGATGAACAGAACTCTGCAAGAGAAGATGCGTGCTCTGCTAACACAGGCAGCCCTTCCACCGCATTTTTGGCCGCATGCGATGGACCACGCCGTGCTGTTACACAATCTTCTTTCTTCAACGTCCCTGCCCGAGTTCTCTTCTCCGCACCTGCAGTGAACACGTACAGTGGGAAGCACAAAACTTTTACGAGTTTTCGGGTGTGTTGTACAGTTTCGTCCTCCAACTGCAGCTCTCGGCAAATTTTCCGAACGAGCAAAATGGGGGGTACATCTCGGCATCGAAAAACAGTATCACGCGTGGAAGATTCTGGATCTTCGCTCCAACCAAATCGTCCCATCACGTGATTGTCTCTTCTATGAAAGACTCACCTTGCCCGTTTTTCGTGCCCACCAGTCAGCAGCTGTCAACCCCGCCAGGCTGTTCGAAGGCTCGCGTGCGTTTGCAACTGACGACGCCGAAGCTGATGTACAGGACGAGGATGTTTCTGAAGCTTCCGAAGCTGCTGCAACAGACATTCCCGAACCTATCACTTCGACCGGCATACCTGAATTCATTCCTCTTGCCAACGCTGATCAGGATGATGTTCGCGAAGTTCATCTCAGTTACGAACGCGATCGCCAACAGCAGCCGATGCCCGTCGTCTCCGACGAAGCAGTTCGTGTTACACCTGACGAAATTGGGGGGGAAGAAGGACCATAAGAAATTTTCGCAGGTGCAAACGAAGAACGTCCGCATTTTACAGAAGCAGGATTACAGATACTTGGATTTGCAGTCGCAGTACAGTGCAACAACAGTAAGATACCTGAACCGAAAACCGTTCGACAAGCTCTTACGAGTCCTCACCGAGAGAAATGGCGCGAAGCCATGGACAGAGAGCTAGCAGCTCTCAAGAGTCGCGGATCATGGGATTTAATACCGACTTCAGAAGTAAAAGGGAATAAGGTACTTACCGAAAAATGGGTCTTCCGCGTCAAGACTAATGCAGATGGGTCGTTTGAGAAATTCAAGGCGCGATGGGTTGTCCGCGGATTCGAGCAGACTTACGGCATCGACTATGAACTAACTTTTGCTCCTGTCGGGCGACATACAAGCGTTCGGATTTTACTCTGTGTCGCCGCCTGCCGTGATCTCCGACTTCGACAAATCGACGTATCAAATGCGTTTCTCTACGCGCCCGTCGACGCACTCATCCTGGTAGAGTACCCGCATTCCTATGCTACTAACCCACCGAGCGTATGCCATCTACAAAAATCCCTTTACAGCATTAAACAGGCACCACGACTCTGGCAACAGTACCTACACTCGCAGCTGATCACTGCTGGATTTCGTCAGTTACCGCATGACCAGGGAATGTATCTACTGACCGATGGCAGCAACTATATTTTACTCGTCGCCTACGTCGACGACATCCTCTACGTCAGTACTACCGATTATCTTGCCGATACCTTCATACTGAAACTACAGAAAACTCTACAGCTTACAGTCTCTGAAACAGTCTCACAGTTTCTTGGTCTGAACATTACCTGTTCACCAACGACTATTCATCTCACTGCTTCGAAGTACGCAGCAACGCTTGCTGCCCGCTTCAACCTCTCACCTACTGCAGTTTCTACACCGTACCGCTCACTACCGACTGACTACAACCCGAGTACCGCACTGTTAAATTCAACCGGTTTACAGATCTATCAACAGCAGTTAGGCTGTTTACTCTTCGCCGCTGTCACATGTCGTCCCGATCTAGCTTACGCGGCCAGTCAGCTCACTCAGTTTCTTCGCCGCCCCGAAGAAGAACATCAGCTTGATCTTTTCCGCGCGCTTCAGTATTTCATTTCAACACCTGACGTCGGTCTAGTCTACAACGTCATCGGTTGCAAAACACTATATCCACATGGTTTTGTCGACGCCGATCACGCTGCTGACTCTACTAATCGACGGTCACGCACTGGATTCATCTATCGACTGGAACCTATCGGACCTATCTCTTGGAATTCGACGAAGCAGGAGCTGATTGTTCTCTCCTCTGCTGAAGCTGAGTTTATTGCTGTCTGCACAGCAACACGTGAAGGACTTTACTTACAGGAACTATTGGAAGAAGCGAAATTGACGACGACTACCCAGTTTACCTTACAGTGCGACAATCAAAGTGCAATTCGCATTGCGCATCAACCTGGCTTCGTCAACAGGACGAAACATATTTCTCTGCGTTACTTTTTCGTCAAGGATGAAGTCGAGAAGGGGAGGATGCGATTGGTCTACTGTTTGACCAACGAAATGGCTGCCGACTTCCTCACAAAGAAGCTGACACGACAAAAGTTCCAGTACTGTAACAAGCTTTGCGGGATCTTCAAGAAGTGACACTATCGAACTTCCAGAAATGAAGGGGAGTGTTGTGATAAAATTGATACTTAGCATTTCTGTAAGTCGATCAGGTGTAGTTAGTGTCGAATCCTACTGTAGAACATAAGTCCGTAGGATGACGTCAGCAAATAGCGCTCGTCATGGGGACAGTCATTTCAATCACGCGAACAGCTGCACCTCTTCGTTAACATCTAGGGCGCATAGCGCAATAGTGACGAACAGGTACATTAGCGAATAGGTACTTTTCCTAGAACTATAAATTCTTGTTAGGCCTTTCCGTTATTAACTTTTGATTACTCACAAGTTCACGTACTCAGGTTATTTAACCTTGACCTTAACATTTTACAAGACTTCCGCTGTCTTACTAGTCTACCATTCCAGTAAAGATCCTGGACCAACACTTGAGGATTTTCCCAGTGTTCGTGTTTGTAGTTTTATACTTAGTCTACTTCAACACCATACGATTTATTTCATTTTGTACCGGTAGGTACTAGGAAACTAACAGAAAGAGAATTGAATGATAAGAAAGAGAGAGTACACAAACATATACCTAAATGTTGTACTCTCTAGAAGGTGACCCTATACAGTCTATACAAACATGATAACTACACATGTTTGACACACCCCCTGGACTGCATAGGGGAATGTTCTAGACAAGCAGCTCAGGGTGGCACTACTAGTCCAGCCTCTGAGACAAGGGTCTAAAAGACCAGTCAGAAGGAGTACAGACAAGGCAAGAACTAGTACAGGGCGGCACTACTAGTCCAACCACTGTGAGAGGACACAAGTCCAGTCTGAGTGTATACATATATATATATACGACAGTACAAAGTCAAGGCCCAAGTAAGTGAGAGACTACAGGAACCAGACCAAGCTGTACACAGTGCCGCTGATGATCTTTAGGCGCAAGTGCCTTCGTAAAGATATCAGCTGTGTTGGCACCGGAGGCCAAGTGTACTACGCGAGCCTGGCGACGCTGCTGTAGCTCGCGCAGGAGGAAGTACCGCAGCTGGATGTGCTTCGCTCTGCCCTCGAGTCGAGGCTCCTGACACAGGAGAATCATGGCCCTGTTGTCAGCGTACAGGACCGGGGCAGAGCTAGGCTGCTCACCTAAGTCAGTGAGCAAGAAGGTCAGCCAGCGGAGCTCCTGTGCCGCCATGGCACCGGCGTAGATCTCAGCCTCACAGCTGGACTGGGCAACAGACGAGGAGCGGGTAGCTCTCCACGAGACAGCACCTGAGCCAAGGCTAAAGCAGTAGCCCTGGGAAGACCTGAGCGTCTCGGCGTCGTCTGCCCAAGAAGCGTCTGTGTGTCCAGTAAGGACCACTGGCCTGCGTCCGCCTAGCACTAACCCCATGCCCGATGTACTTGCAAGATAACGCAAAACCCTCTTAGCGGCAGACCAGTGCTGAGGTCGGTGTCTGCCTGTGGCCACAAAACGAGCCAGGATGCTGAGAGGGTATGCGAGATCTGGGCGAGTGCAAGTCATCAGGTACATGAGGCAACCCACTAGCTCAGCGTAAGGATCACTGGGATCTATCGACTCCTCAGGAACTGGAGCGGAAAGTCTGTGGTCCAGAGGAAGAGGGGTGGGCTATGCGGAGGAGAACTGAAGGCCGAACCTCTGAAGGACATGGCGCACCAAGTGTGACTGAGTCAGGGTGATGGTGCGCGCGGCTCTGTCCCTGGAGATCTGCAAGCCAAGGTAACGGCGCAGCTCTCCAAGGTCAGTGCAGGTGTGTCTCTTCAGCAGCTCTGCCTTCACGGAGGCCAGTGCGTCCCTGTCAGCAGTGGCAAAGACCAGGTCGTCTACGTAGACGAGGATGTAGAACGGAGTCGAGCCAGCACGAACGAAGAGCGAGGGGTCTGCAGAGGACGGAAAGAACTGCAGGTCAGCAAGGGTAGCACGCAGCGTGTCGTGCCACTCACGAGGCGCCTGGCGCAGGCCGTAGACTGGGCGCCGCAGAAGCCACTGGGTCCCAGGGGGGAAGGTGCCAGTAAAGCCCTGAGGACGACGCAGGTAGACCTGCTCGTGAAGGCTGCCCTGAAGAAACGCAGTGGAGAAGTCGAGGGAGTGAAGCTCGTAGTCACGCTGAGCCGCTACGTGTAGCAGAACCCGAAGAGTAGTCATCTTCGGGGTAGGAGCGAAAGTCTGAAAGAAGTCCACCCCCTCGCGCTGACTGAAGCCTCTAGCCACGTAACGCGCCTTGAACACAGGCGGCTCTCCAGGAGGGCGCTTCACCTTGAAGAGCCAACGGCCATCGACCACGTTCACCCCAGGTGGGGGAACTGCGTCGACGAAGGTGCCGGTGGATCTCCAAGATGCCATCTCCTGCTCCATGGCAGCTATCCACTGAGAGGCCCAGGGTCCCGAAACCGCCTCAGCGTAAGTACGAGGGGTCGGGATGTCAAAAGCGTCTGGGTCACCCTCAGGGACTAGCAGCATGGAACAGAGATGGGGAGCAGCCTCGGACAGGAAAGCAAGCTCAAACTGGCGGTCCTCCAGGACGTCACTGCCGAGGGCAGGAGCACCCCCGACGGACGGAGGACAGGCAGGGTCAGAGACCAGAGCGGAAGCGTAGTCAAGGCGGCGGGTAGAGGCGAAGTCAGCAACCGCAGCGACAAGGGCGTCAAGACTCGACACTGGAACAGACGGGTCGGTAACGAGAGAGGCAAGGACCCGAGGAACAAGAGGACGAGCGGCACGAAAGTAGTCAGACAGAGGAGGAGACGCAACGACAAGAGAAGACGGAGGAGGAGACGGGAGGAGGGGAGGACGAGACGCGTGGGAGCGGAGCAACATAGGGTGAGTGCGCGGGACGGGGGAGACAGGACGAGCACGGGAGGGGCGGCGAGACCAGACGTGAGAGGGCGGCGTCGGGTCAGGAGACAGAGGAGGGGACACGGGTGGGGAACGAGGGGGAAAACGAGCCGGGGACGAGTCCGGCGGAGGGAACACGGGGCCGTAGACGGGAAGAGGGGGAGACGGTCGGAGAGGAACAGGCGCAGGGTCAGGGGACGGAAGGCCGAGCAGACGGAGGGCGGACACCGGCGGGGACTGCTGCTGCGGCGACACAACACCAACACCAGAGCCACAAGCTGCGCGACGGCTACCTCCCGAACCCTCCACACCTGCACCCCCAGAAGGGACACCCCCAGAGCCCGAAACCCCACCAGCACCGGTACCACCCCCAGGCCCGCCGGGACAAGCCACGACTGGAGCCCCGGGACTAGTACCCACCTCAACGCCAGCACCCCCAGAGTCCACAAACGGCGGCAGCGACGACAGCGGCGGCGGCGGCGGCGGCTGCAGCGACGGCTGCGACGGCGGCGGCAGCGGAGACGACGGCTGCAACGGCGGCGGCGGTGGAGACGACGGCAGCAGCAGCCGCGGCGACGGCGGCTGCGGAGGCGGTGGAGGAGGAGACACCGGGGGAGGGACAGACGGCGAGGACTGCGCCAAAGGACTACCAGAGGCAGAAGACTCGTCGACCGGAACGACCGACGGGAGGGGGGTGACGTGAGACACACCAGAGGGGGCCGGACGGGGGGGCGGGGGGGGGGGAGGGGCAGGGGCCACCAGGGAGGGAGGAACCAGGAACAGGGGGGGAGTAACCGGGGGACCACGGTGGGGAAAGCGGCGGTAGAAGGAGACGGACTCGTCAAAGGTGACGTCGCGAGAGTGAAAGAAACGGTGAGACGGCGGGTGGTAGAAGTGCCAGTCGGACGCGTCAAGGGGGAAACCGAGGAAGACGCAGGGGAGGGTGCGGGCAGTGAGCTTGTCCGTGCCAGAGGCACGAACGTGAGCAAGGCAGCCCCAGACGTGGAACGCAGACGCGTCACCAGGGGACCCGGTCCACAGAAGGGTCGGCGAAACCTGCGGCCGCTGGGGGTGCGGCCACAGGTTAAGCTGGTGAGCGGCGTAGCGCACGGCGAACGGCCACAGAAAATGGGGTGCACCGGCGTGGATCATGGAGGTGCGAGCCACCTCCATGACCAAACCGATGCGTCGCTCAGCGACCCCATTCTGCTGCGGGGAGTCCGGCAGGGTAAACGTCTGGGTGATGCCCTCCGCACGACAGAAGCGACCAAGGACACCTGAGGCGAACTCGCCACCCCGGTCGGAGTGGAGGCGCAAGGCAGGGAGACCGCGGTGGAGACGAGCAGAGACAAGCCAGGGGATGAGAACGTCAGGCACGTCGGCCTTCCGCTCCAGGGGAAAGACGGTGGTGTAACGTGTGAAGTCGTCGACAAGCACTAGGAAGAAGCGCTCGCGACGCGGCCCATGGACCGGGGCTGGGCCCCAGACGTCCATGTGCAGAGTCTGCAGGGGTGCGGTGGTAGGGGGAAAAGAGGAGGAGTGAGGGGCGCGGCGGAGCCGGCCCTCGACACAAGGCGTGCACGGTGGGGCGGGGGAGGAGGGAAACTCAGGGAACGAACCGGGGAGACCAAGGACGAGACCATGCTGGGACATGTGACGCAGACGCGGGAGTGCAGGGTGACCAAGGCGGTGGTGCCAAAGGAGAGTCGGATGAGTGAGGGACCGACAGGAGCACGCAGCAGCAACCTGGGTGGACGCAGCTACCTGGGGGGAAGACCCAGCCGGGGACGTCGCGGTGTCAAGTGTGAACAGGCCGGACACCGGGTCCCGGGGGAAAGTGGTAAGGGGGGCACTAGTGGCGGCCTCGATACAGACAGCATACCGCTCGTGACCAGGGAACGTAGTGGTGACGCCAAGGTCCTGGAGGCAGCCGACACCAACTAGGTTCCTGGAGAACGAGGGGATATGCAGACCGGTGAGCGAACCTGAAGGAACCGCCGGACAGGGAAGGGAGGTGGAACTGCGGGCAACGACGGGACCACCGGAGGGGTCAGCAAGAGTAACTGCGGCGGGAACAGGCAGCGGCGTCAGCGTCGTGGAGTCGCGGAAGAAACACCGGGAGGCGCCAGAGTCCAAGGTGAAGGAAAGCGCAGCAGTCGCGCGGGGCGACAGTGAAGCGATGGAAGCACCGAGGCTAAGCAAAGCAGGAGATCCTACGCCTGACGCAGCAGGGGAGTCTACGCTAGGCACAGCTACACTAGGCAACACGGGGTAATAAGAGGGAAGCACACTAGAGTCATCGGCATACATCACATGCAAGGCTGCTACAATGGCATCCATGTCCAAGTCAAAAATCCGAATGCTACGCCTAAGCAAGCTGTGCCAGTCCGGGAGGTCGGGCGCCGGGCCAAAGCGCTGGCGGAACAGGTCGTCCAGACGACGAAAACAGCGAGGAGTGGAATGACCGATCTTACCGCAAACGAAGCCGCGGTGAGGACCGGTCTGGATCTGGTACTGACAGGGCCCGCCTCCAGAACCACTACCCGGTGCACCACCACGCGCACGACCACCACCAGCTCCAGGCCACCCAGGCGGGAGAGCACTCGCCGGCCTCGTCTGCGGCGGCTGCTGCGGCTGCTGCGGAGGCTGCGGCTGCAGCGACTGCTGCTGCTGCTGCTGCTGCTGCAAAGGTGGAGGCAGCGGGGCAGCTGGACCGGGCAGGGTCCCCACGTCCGCACCGGCACCGGACGACCCGCCTCCACCACTACCCCCACCCGCACCCCCGCCGCCTCCGCCGCTCCCAACCTTGGGGCGGCGGCCCTTCCCCGAGCGGGACTGCACTGCAACAGCAGTCTCAGCCACAGCGACAGAGCCGTCGGAGAAGGTACACTGAGCGGGGGCACAACCCTGAAAGATAGGGACCGGTACTGTACCGCTCGCCTGGGCTATGGAGCGGTGACGAGTCTCTATGGCAGTCAGGGTGTCAACAAAGTCGGTGAGGGTGAGAGCAGCAGGGTGGATGCTAAGGAACTGGTCGCGGGCGGCGGCAAGGCGGTCAGGGAGGCGGGTGGCAAGGAGGTAGAGGGTAGAGGTCATGGGAGGCTGGTGGACTCTAAGCTGTGCATCAGTGCAGGCAGCGCGCCAGGCCTCATCTATCGAGCGCAGGTGGGCAGCGAGGTCAGAGACAGTGGGGAAAGACGCCAGGTCAGGAAAGAGCAGGGGGAGGATCAGGCGACCCACTGAGGCAGCAGGAGGGGTAGAATAGCGCTTGATGACAGCATCGAGGTAGGCCTGGGCGGTAGTAATGGTTCTAAAGCGAGGGCGCTCAGGGGGGGGGAGGGCATTGCTAATGGCGAGCTGAGCAAGGGCATCGCGGGAAAGCCAGACAGAGCGGGCAAGGGCAGCGGCGGCAGTGGACTCGCGCTCAGCGGGCGTGGGATCAGCGGGCAGCACAGCAGGGGGGTCAGGGCAGGGGAGCATACCCTCTAGGTGTGCAGAAAGCGGGTGGCCGTCCTGCCGCTGACCAGTGAGGTGGCGGCGAAGGTCAGCCAACCACGCCTCGAACTCCAGAGGCTGACCCTCAGCATCAAAACGAAGCTCAGCAGCCATGAGGGGCAGTGGAGGACAGTGGAGTGCGGTGTAGTGCTGTGCAGTGCGGTGCAGGGCGGTGCAGTGCGGTGCAGTGCGATGCAGTGCGGTGCAGTGCGGTCCAGTGCGGTGCAGTGCGATGCAGTGCGGTGCAGTGCGGTCCAGGAAAGTGCAGGAGGGTGCAAAGTGGTGCGGGGAACGGGGGACAGTACCAGGAAGTATGGAGGGTCGGGGCAGGCGCGACGGGACCGGGCAGGCGCGACGGGGCCGGGCAGGCGCGACGGGGCCGGGCAGGCACGACGAGGCCGGGCAGGCGCGACGGGGCCGGGCAGGCGCGACGAGGGGCCGGGCGGCTGCGACGGGGCCGGGCGGCAGCGACGAGGCCGGGCGGCTGCGACGGGGCCGGGCGGCTGCGACGGGGCCGGGCGGCTGCGACGGGGCCGGGCGGCAGCGACAAGGCCGGGCGGCAGCGACGGGGCCGGGCAGGACACAGCAGGGCCGGGCGGGGGCGACGGGGCCGGGCGGGCGTGACGGGGCCGGGCAGGTGTGACAGGGGCCGGGCAGCTGCGACAGGGGCCGGGCGGGCGCCACGGGGCCGAGAGGCCGCGACAGGGCCGAGCTGGGGCGACGGGGCCGAGCAGGGGCGACGGGGCCGAGCAGGGGCGACGGGGCCCAGGAGGGGCTCGACGGGGCCCAGGAGGGGCACGACAGGGGCCCTGGAGGGGCGCGAAGGGGCCCGGGAGGGGCGCGACGGGGCCCAGGAGGGAGCGCGGCAGGGCCCAGGAGGGGCGCAACAGGCCCAGGAGGGGCGCTACGGGCCCAGGAGGGGCGCAATGGGGGGCCCAGGAGGGGCGCTACGGGCCCAGGAGGGGCACTACGGGCCTAGGAGGGGCGCAATGGGGGGCCCAGGAGGGGCGCGACGAGGCCCAGGAAGGGGCGCGACGGGCCTAGGGACGGTCGCGACGGGGCTAGGAGCACGACGAGGGGGGGGGGGATCCTACCTACGCGTGATACCATAACAGAAAGAGAATTGAATGATAAGAAAGAGAGAGTACACAAACATATACCTAAATGTTGTACTCTCTAGAAGGTGACCCTATACAGTCTATACAAACATGATAACTACACATGTTTGACAGAAACTTGTTGGAAGAGTCTAGGTCAGTATGGAATGAGAGATTATGTCTACCCTGGCTGCTCTCGAGTGACACTACTAGTATTTTTACATATTCTACTCTAGCTTTGCGCAGCTGGTATCTTCCCATACTCATTGCTAGAAGCTAAGAAACTAGGAGAATTAGGATGTCTTGTGTACCAGTAAGTCTGAAAATTCTCTAGTTGAACTGTGGAACAAACACAACCAAGCAGCAGTTAGGAATAACCCTGCAACCAAGAGAGCAGCAGGGCACCCGTCGAATCCAGAGAGCAGTAGAAGGCACCCTTGAATCAAGAGAGCAGTCAGAAACACCCGTCTAATCAGGAGAGCAGAGGGGCGCCTCTTGGGCGCAGCTGTGTGGCGGGCGTGTCTGGCTTGCGCTCCAGCCTGCAGGAGAAGAAGCAGGGACATGGCAATGGGAGGGAAAAGTAAGGAGTCAGAATTAAGGAGGCCCTTGGAACTAGGAAGGGAGGCATGCCGCTTGGCCGCAGCTGTGTGGCGGGCGTGTCTTGCTTGCGCTCCAGCCTGCAAAAGCGGTTGTGCATGGAACGGAAAGGGAGCAGGAAACAAACGCAGGGTGTGCGTGAAAACGTAAGGAGCACCCCTTGGGCGCAGCTGTGTGGCGGGTGTGTCTGGCCTGCGCTCAGTCAGGCCTGCAGGGGAGCGATTGCTGATTGCAAGAGGAGTCTATTTTTGAGGCGCCTCAAAAATAGACTCCTCACGAGGGATCGCAAGGCATCGGAAGCAAGAAACAAACACAGGCTGTGAGTGTTAGTAGGCTCTATCTAATGCACCCATCTCATGCACCCCTCACACCTCCCTATCGCCTGCACCCCTCTCACCTCCCCCTCTCATGCATGGTTCTGTGCACCTCGTCCACTGTCATTTCCAGCACCTACGCTATGGGCCTACGGCAACCCTTGCACAGTCTGCGTACCCGTGCTTCAACGGATTCCCCTCGCACCTCGCACCTCGCACCCCGCACCCCGCACCCCGCACCCCGCACCCCGCACCCCGCACCTCGCACCTCGCACCTCGCACCTCGCACTCCCACCTCGCACCTCGCACCTCGCACCTCACACCTCGCACCTTGCACCTCGCACCTCGCACCTCACACATCTCACCCCTCGCCCCGCACCTCTCCATCTCCAGGAAATCCCCGCGCGCTTTGTCCACCGTCACCTCCAGCACGTGCCGTCCAATCATCACCATCCCACAACCCCTTTTTCCTCTCACCCAAACTCCTCTACGCACTCTGTGAACAGATGAACCCCAAGTCCCCTCAACCCCTCTCTCAATCCCTCACCTCTCTATCTCTTAAACCGCTCTGTGCACCTCGTTGACTGTCACATCCAGCACCTGCCCTCGAATCGCACTCATTCTCCTGCGACTACTGGAGATCTGCTCTCCAGTATTCTCTCTCACCTCTCTATCTCCTGGACAGCTCTGTGCACTTCGTCCACAGTCACCTCCAGCACCTGCCCGCCAATCACTATCTCGTTCAAAATCTGATGCACCTGCACATCCCAACAGGGGAGAGTGGCAGGCAGCAGGGAGACAGACGCTTCAATTTGCTCCTGCCCTCCCTCCGATGACAATCTCGTTCAGAATCCGATGCACCTGCACACACCGTTGAGCGCAGCAGGTAACCAGAAAGAGAGAAGAGTTTGATCTCATCACACACCGATCTCCAGGACCTGCCCTCCCTCCGACCACAATCTCGTTCAGAATCCGATGCACCGGCACATGGAATTATGGAAGAGTAGAGTAGACAAAGGATAGGGTGAGGTGGAATATGATGGATGAGTGTGAACTCATGAGGCAGAGTACGGTGAGGTGGGCAAACGATGATATTGATGCGGCAAAGATTCGGAGTAGGAAGAGCAGCAAGCCAGATAAAGCTAGATCGTATCGCACCCAGATAAAGCTAGATCGTATCGCACCCAGACAGATCCTACCTTGGTGAAATTGAAGACTATGTCCAGCTCACACACGTTCTTGTAACAGCGGTCCAAGGACTCCACAAACACTGCACGCCCAGTAAAGGAGTGGGAAGGGAACAGGTCAGAACGGACAGGTTTTGAGTTTATAAAAAACAGCCCAAGTCCAATGACTCCACAAACACTGCACGCCCAGTAGAGGAAGCGAGAGAGCAAAAGTGCATATCAGTTTTCGATGGTAGAAAAAAGCGGCATCAAGTAAACTAGTGCTCTTGTAGCAACGGTCTCATGACCCAACAAAGACGGCACGCGCAGTCGAGGAGCAAGAGCGGAACAGATCAAAGCGACCAATAGAGACTGGAAAAGGAACCGGCGGGGGGGAGGGGGGCAATGAACGTTCTTGTAGAAGCAAGGTTGTTCTCTGCTCTATCGATGAGAAAGATGAAGAAGAGTCTGGCTTGAATCGACTATATACACACCCAGAGTGTGGCTTGAATCGACTAAAGACACACCCAGGGTGTGGCTTGAGTCGACTAAAAACACACCCAGAGTGTAGCTTGAGTCGACTAAGAACGCACCCAGAGTGTGGCTTGAATCGACTAAAGACACACCCAGAGTGTGGCTTGAGTCGACAAAACACACACATGCAAACACACCAATCACAGGAGCACGAACAGGTCACATCGTACCATGAATGAGGTCCAGCACAGCAAGCTCGTTCTCAGCTCTATCGACGAGGAAGATGAAGTAGAGCGTGGCGAATGTGCGGTACACCAGCTTGATGTTCTGCGATCAAGGACGGGAAATGATGAGAGGAGGATTCTAAGGGCAGCGCCAAACACTCGGTGCGAGTTCGGTACGACAATGTACAGCACAACATCGGTCGCCTTCCTCTCTGCAGCACAACATCGGGATGTACATGCACTGCAGCACAATATCGGGATGTACATGCACTGCAGCACAACATCGGGATGTACATGCACTGCAGCACAACATCGGGATGTACATGCACTGCAACACAACATCGGGATGTACATGCACCGCAGCAGAGAGGAAAGGCGACTTTGGAGTCGACTCAAAAGTTGAGTGCAACAATGTACAGCACACTAGCTGGATACCCGTGCACTATGACAGAGAGGAGAGGAAAGGCAGATGTATGAGCAGTCCGAGGTGGATCCTCCCTCAGTTGGAATCGGTTAACATCTGTTCACCCATACCCCATCCATGCACAGGTTCTTACCTTCAGGGAGGAACGCATATCTCTGAAACCTTCTGAGCCGTCCTTACCATACCAAACCTTGCTTGAGCCATTCTTACCTTGCCGAACCTGCTTGCACCATTCTCACCTTGCCAAATTTGCTTGAGTCCTCGAGGATATTTGACCAAGTGGACGGGCGGCAGGCCACAGCTGGGGTACGGAAAAGAAATGGGAGAAGAGAAAAAGGAAAGAAGAGAAATAAAAAAAGAACGGCTATAGAACGACTTTTAACCACTTAGCCTGGGAAACTGCCCGGCCGTAAAACTGGCCTCCCAACCAAACGAGGAAAATCGCTCATTCAGCAGACAGGAATTAAGGACGAGGTCTTTTACTCACAAGAATCTGCGCTTGTGGCTCGTCAACCTTTCCGCCCAAGAGAGGGTTCTTGAATGAAGTTCCACTGACCTTCAAAGGAGTGCCGGATTATGTGCTGCTGCCTCTCTCCGCTCTGCATGGTGCAACACGGATGGGGTGAATAACACTGGTCAGACGCTGCGCTTAGGATCGACCACGTTCGGCAGAACCAGAACCGGAAGTCTAGTATTGATTCACTTAGTCGACAACAGATTCACTTAGTCGACCACAGATTCACTTAGTCGACCACAGATTCGAGCACCAGAGAATTTGGCAAGAACAGCTTGAAGCTCCCAGAGGGTTCGAGTTCTGGCGCATCAGATATCAGATTGCAAGCGGCTGATGGCGACGTTCGCGAAAACCCTACGAGATTCGCGAGAGGCTTACGATGTTCGCGTAGAAGCGCGCGAAGCGAGCCTTCCCTTGGTTGTTGATTATCAGCACCGCCTTTATCATGTCGCCGCCTGTCGCCTCTCCTCTTAGTCTCGCCTCTCCGTTCCGACGTTCAAAACCAGAAAAAATGGTGTGATATGTTGATGCGATGTGGGGATTTACGGCGAGCTAGGTCTCTTGTAATGCCGCTCGCTAGGTCCCTCGCTCGCTTCTCTTGGGAAGCAACGCCGTACGAGGTCGGTCTCTTGTACAGATATGGAGATCACCACGGGGCTTAGACTGTGTCTCGCGTGACCCTCCCAAACAGGCTAGGGCTGCTAGGCCGGATGTTGCAACAACGCCTAACTAGACACCGAGATTCCCCAAGCAGCCACCCGTTGGGGTTCGTTTTAAACACGATTGCTATCGGTTCTGGAAAGTCTGGGATCTGTCCTCCTGAGACCGTCGCCCTAGTTTCCACTGTGTGACTCTACTGGCTAGTTCCGTAAAGTGCGGCGTGACTCGCGAAGTTCAACTGAAAATGAGAGACCTGCCGAGAAATAACCCTTCACCAAAGCAGCCTCGGCAGTACCTGGGAAGGGATTTCACGTCCTCGTTTAGGAGAACTACAATATCTGATTCCAGATAGACGATGCATTTGAATCTTCTTCAAAACTATATATCAGAAACTTCAACCTTTCTGCTGCTTGCAAGGGTGGCATTGGCATAACAGCACCAACGAATCCAAGCCACACAAGGCTGGATGACCAATATCCGGCCATCACAACAAGCTAATGTTGGCATCGTGCCGACTCAACCCTTCCCCCCCAAACCTATTTTTCACAAATAAACACCCACTTCCTCCTGACCTCACAGCCAGCAGCAGCAAGCTCCAAGGAGAGTAACATATCAAGTCCCCAGCCAGGGACACTCTAGGTCTCAGATAGTATAATCCAGAATGAACGAGGTGTGGTCCATGGTCTCACTAGGATTAACCGTCAACATGGCGGGCTTCTCCTTCCCTCCAACCAGCCTCCCTGGAATTCCCACCACCGTGGCACGCGGCGGCACATCCAGCAACACCACAGATCCTGCTCCTACTTTCGCTCCCTCCCCAATCTTAATCGGCCCAAGCAGGGTCGCGCCAGCGCCAATCAGCACGCCGTCGCCGACCTTGGGATGCCTGTCGCCGCTGCTCTTCCCCGTGCCTCCCAGCGTCACATGATGCAGAATCGAAACATTGTTACCAATCGTCGCCGTTTCGCCAACCACCAGCCCGGTTGCATGATCAAACAGCACCCCGTTCCCAATCTTCGCGGCTGGATGAATGTCCACATGAAACACCTCCGACACGCGGCTTTGAAGCGCCATCGCCAGCCCCTGACGGCCCTCCAGCCACAGCCGATGCCCGATCCGATAAGCCTGGAGCGCCTGATACCCCTTGAAGTTGAGCATCGCGTGGGAGTAGCTCCTGCACGCAGGGTCACGGGTGTAAATCGCCCGCAGATCGGCGCGCAGCGCCTCCTGAACCTCCGGCGATCGGAGCATGACGTCGGTGAAGAGCGAGCAGAGCTGCGTACTTAAAAGCGTCGGCGATTGGAGCTTATTCGCCAGGTGAAACGCCATGGACCGCTCCAGGGAACGGTGAGCGAGGACCGTGGAGTAGAGATACGAAGCCAGAGCAGGCTCAGCTTCGGAATCTTGCCGAGCCTCCTCGCGGATGGTGTACCAAAGCTCGTCTTGGACGTTCGGAACGGTCTCAAACGCATCTGGGACCATGATCGGACGGCTGGAGATGTCGGACTGGAAGACGTGCTGGAAGAAGGGTGCGAAGGGGCTGGACTCGTCCATGGATCCCGCGCGGCGCGCGGCGCCATTGGTGAGCGAGCAACGGATGGCTGCTGACCGGTGTTGTGACGACCGCAAGGGAGAAGCAGCCGTGAAGGATGTGGTCGTGCAGCCGTTGAACGCGGGGAGAAAGGAGGAGGTGAGAGGGGGAGCACTCGTCGGTGTTGCCTGGCGGTGCAGGGAACTGCTAGCGACGGTTTCCGACGCCAGCGCGGTGGAAGTGCCCAATGTCGAAGCCATGGCGGCGGGCGACTACAGGGAACCCCGGAGACGAGAACGGCAGAACGAGGAAAACGGGCGCAGGAGGCGAAGCTAAGAAGGGACTGCGGAAGGTTGGTCGCTAGTAAAAAGAGGGAGGGATTGTTGGAGTGCAAGATAGGTGAGGGGGATATTTACAAATGGCTATGCTTTTGACGCTAAAGGTTAGCTTCTGAGATAAGATGATCTACGTTCGATGGTTATGATCTCGCCTGGTCTAGATACCCGTAACTCGAATTATATCTGGCAAATGTGCCTGCCACGCGACGAAGGTCATGAGAGATTGAACAGCTCGGCAGCTTGTGCAACGGGAGTTGTCGCGTTGTCAAGCCTTACGGTACCGATGCGAACATAGGATCTCCGACGAACACCGCTAGTCGCGCCGCTGCTATCTCAGACAACACACCGCTGGATGCTGAGCAAGTTTCAGACTAGTGAGAGTGAGGAGAAGTGTGCATAGGGAAAGGGAGACGTGGTGTTAGGTGAGAGCAAGTGGCCTGTGGGTGGAGCGGACTCGAGCTGGCAAAGTGAATGGTGGAAAGCCACGCAGGGCCCAACCGAAGGCAGCAATGGCGGTCTCCCGTGACGCTAAGATAAGAATCATCCGTCCATGACCTAAATTCAGCGTATGAAGACTGGGACAAGATACTGAGGGGAAATAAAGCGATGCAAACTTGGCGGGGAAGGTGACGTCACGGGGGGAGTAGGGTAAAGTAGGAGGTATCCTAGGTTTGGTCGGAGGAAGTGGGTTCGGGCAAAAGCGGGCAGGCATTAAGCGGCTGCGATGTCATCGTCCACAATGGACGGCACTCGTAGGTGCTGGTCGTAGAAAACGGGCAGCCAAAACGAGCTGTTTAAAAGAATCTCCCACTGGTCGACCCGTATTCCTGCTGTACAAGCCTGCATCCTCGGGCAAGTGAATTTTGAAACAAACCGATCTTGGGCAGTGAACGGTCAAGCACCTCATCCTCTACTGTAGTTTTTTGCAACCATGCCTGCTCGCCTCGCCTCACCCACACCCAAGATCATCGCAGCCCCAACCAAAGGAAGGGGTTTCCTTTGCTGACCTGGACTCTCTCACGTGAGACGAACCCCGTGGGAGGCAGCATCGCGTTCACGGAATTTGGACAAAGCGATCCACGCCATTATCGAGGATGCGAGGTGGTCGGCAATATTATCGAAGTTCATGCCATGAGAAATACTTGTTGGACATTTATCAGACAGTCTCTCTGCACGTTATGCAAAAAAAAAAATCTGCACGTTATGCATGCAAACCATTACGAAGCAAGGTTTCCAATATCGGGTTTTTGTAAGGAATTAACATTCCTTACTGCGCTAAACTACAGCGCGTACACCCGAAGACCTCGAACTCGCAGGTTCGGCCATTATTGTCGGCCCAAACCTCCCCGAGTCGCGTTCCGACACCCAACCAAACCATTCACGTCCCGAGCAGGGCTAATTTTTCGTTTTTCAAGACCCAGCGGTCTCAGGATTCGCGTCACTAAAGACCCTGAAAATTCAGCATTCCCTGGAAAATCTCTCTTTATTTCAGGATTACTTCGACCTTTCAATCTGAAATTCATAGTGTTTTTTGGGATTCCCTACATATCAGCGGAACCTGTGGGCAGTTCGAGTACAAGCAGGAAGGACATTGATGGAAGAAACGATAGAGAAGAATACAAAACACACACGTGCTGCTGCTGCTGTCCCTCACCACCTCACCAAGTTTGACACTTTCCTTGTCAATTACGACAGAAATACGTACCGTAATCCCCCGGATATAACACCCTATGGTGGATATAATAATTCATTAAAAAAAATGACTGGGTGTTAACAGTGGGCTGGAAAAATATAACGCCCATGTGTTATGTATAATTCATTTTGAATCTGATTGTTTCTAGGCTTATACATGCATTGGGTTTCTGTTAGGGAGTTTTGTGCTTTTTGGATGAGAGGATGGCCATGCCAACGTGTCGAACTCGGCATGGGCTATAGGATTTGTGGCCAATCCGTAACGGTCACAGCTGCCAACACCCAGCGGATTGCTGCCATCGGCTGCCAGCGCTGCGAGTTCACGGCTAGGTGCAGTAGATGCTGCCAGCGCAACACCTGCGATGGAATCTGGCATCTCAAGATGCCCTTGGGAAGCTTCTCGACCAGACCATCGCATGCTAGCATGCGATGGTCTTTTTTGGCTTTCAAGAACCGTGCGCGGCTCGGGTAGGGGGTCGGCCCACGTTTCTTGTTCATCCGTTTGTTGTCGCTGCGTCATTTTAGCGTTCCAGTACTGTCTTCCCAACAGAAAATCCCTCGCGATGTCGAACCTCTCTAACAGAGCCTCGGGCATAAGTCCGCCGAGGCGATTTTGTAGGCAGAGACTCAGCCATGGCGGCCCGTGCTGTTAGCGGCATCTCAGTTTTGCGAACCCATCGTCCACCCCACGGTAGTCAATTTCTTCTCCGTCCGTTTCCGTCGATTCCTCCAGCACCACCTGCGCCGCCAGCACCGCCTGCGCCTCCCGCGCCTCCTGCACCTCCTGCCCCACCTGCTCCTCCCGCACCTCCCTATACATCATGTCCGAGTGCAAGTCGTCCCGAGGAGTGGGACAACTACTGGCAGGACGATGATGAGCTAGACTGGGAAGATGCTGCCGATGGAGAGCCAGAGCCACCCCCGACACTTCCTCGTGTCATTGTTCCATCTTTCCCTCAGCCCATTCGTCGTCCCCACATGCAGCGAGTTAACCGGGATGCTGCACCTCCCTCCCCCAGACATCGCAGGACCAGCCGCAAGAGAGTCTCGCGCACAGCGGCGGAAAAGCTATACTGGTTGGCCCATCTCGACTCCGACCCGAAGCTTTGGAATCGCAAGCTGGCGAAGATGGCCGAGGTACAACCCTGTCAGATACGCGACTGGAAGAAGAACAAGGCACGGCTGTCGGCGGCGGCGGGATGCAGGCGTCGTCTCATCGGTGCTGGACGCAAGGCGAAGTTCCCCGACATGGAGAAGGAGATGTACAACCGCTTCCTCTCACACCGTGCGCGCGGCTTGGCGGTGTCGGTGAGTTGTCTGCAGAAGTGGAGTAGGAAGTTCATGCGGAAGCGCCATCCCGGTGTCGACTGGCGTGCGTCATCCCGTTGGACCTTCCGGTTCCGCACGCGTTGTGGGGATTGACACGGCGCGTCAAGACAAAGATGGGCCAGCGCCTAACCAGCGGTGCGTTGTGTGCTTGATATGCAAGGTCTTTAGCAATTTCGCTTGCGGTTTCCTATTCATTGAGCTGTAAGAACTTAAGCATAAGCATGTACACTCACATCGTTTATTGTCTTCTCGTTATGCAGATTGCGAGGCTAAAGTCGAGAAATTCTGGGAGTTCGTACGCCAGATGCGCACAGTCAACAAATATGACGATGACTTGATTATCAACGCCGATCAGACGCCCTTGTTCCTCGAAATGCCCCAAGAGACTACATTAGAAGTCCGCGGTTCAAGGACGGTACATGTTCGGACTGCTGGCTACGAAAAGGAGCGGTTGACCGTGATGCTGGCGGTCACTGCTGGCGGCCAGAAGCTGAAGCCGTATGTCATCTTCAAGCGCAAGACGCTCCCCAAGATTCGAGTCCCGCCAGGTTAGTATCGATTGGGTATTGATGTCAGTAAGTGTTTCATGTACCGGAGTTAGAAACTAATTGTAAGCTTTTTGGTTCGTTCATGATTGCATGCAGAAATCGTCATCCGCGCACAGGAGAAGGGATGGATGGATGAGGACCACGTGAAGGACTGGATTACGACGGTCCTTGTCCCCTTTCTGAAGCGACTTCCTGCACGCCGTGGCGGGCGGCAGAAGGCTCTCGTTGTCCTCGACTCCTACAAAGGCCATCTGACTGAGGGGGTGGCGGCGTTGATGCGTCTATTCAAACTCTCACGTGCCGTCATACCTGGCGGCTGCACGCCAATCGTCCAACCTCTCGACGTAGCTGTGAACCGCTGCTTGAAGGCTCACGTCCGCCGGTCCTACTCGGGTTGGTTTGAGGAGTTCGGCTGCGACGCGACAACTCCCGCAGGTGATACCCTTCATATCCTTGAGCTCTGCTTTTCATACGTTCTTGTTTACCGTTTGCTTTACGACGCGTTGACGTGTTGCTCAAGTTCTCGCTTCGGTTTGCCTAATGCGCGATGTAATCGGTACCCAACCCTGTCCGCCCTTCAGGAAATCTGAAAAAGCCTCCGGCAGAGGTGGTGCTGCAGTGGATCGCGGCCGCCTGGGAGGCAGTCCCTACCGACCTCATCCGCAAGGCTTTCAAGACCTGCGGCATCTCCAACGACCTCGATGGCCTTGAAGACGACCTCATACTCGCCCACATGCGCAACAACGCGGAGCTGGAGGTCATGGACGATGTGCACGCGGAGGTTGAGACGACCGGGGAGAAGACGAATCCCCTCTTCGAAGCCGAGTTCGTAGAGCCGACCGCCGACGAGCTCTCCGAGGACGAGGAGTGTGACATCACTGTCAACGTCGACCTGCCGCAGCATGCACCGACACATGGCGTCGATGTGGCGGAATCGTCTGCGATGGCGGAGGCTCGACTTAACGCTGCAGCAGCTGCAGCATCAACATCGACAACACCAGCAGTAGCTGCAACTGCACCTGAAGCGGCTGACACTACAGAGAGCAGCGATGTGGACTCCGCAGAGATGGCGCCAGCGGCGGAGGTACTTGCTGGACTGGCCGCCTCCCGATGGACTGAAGAGTACGATTGGGACGATATTGCATCCGACGATGATGATGTAGAGGCTTGGCACGCTGGAGATGAGGATGACGAGGAGTATTAGGTAGTGAATGATGTCTCTAATTTCTAACTTAGACATGATCTAGGCCTTGCGCTACTCACTGGATGCTATTCTTGTAGGCAACAATGATTAGGAATTCAAGCGTGTTGTAACGCTGCTGTAGTAATAGGATGCATATGGTAGAATATACAATTGTTTTAGTGTACTCCAAGTAATAAAAATAGGGGGGCGTTATGTATAATTCGTCGCCTGAAAAGCGGGTACTCTCAAAAATGCACCATATCATAAGCTCCCCCCCGTATTAACCACCCACGGAGTGACTATTCCGGCGGGTGTTATATCCGGGGGATTACGGTACAACTTAGAGGGACAGTGCGCAACCTGGCTAAGGTGATATTAAGGGGTTGTGATAAGTCTGACAACCCTGTCTCAAAGAAGCTTAGGACACTAACTAAACTTAGGAACCTAACTTAGCTAGGAAGGAAGGAAGGACGCCATGGAATGGCGAGAGGCAAGTAGATCTAGGAGTAGGCAAAAGTGACGAGAAAGAAGAGGTGGGATTAGGAAGAGAGAGCAGTACAAGGAGGGGATTGTACGCTCTACAGAAAGGTTCAGTAACAACCTACCAAGCCTATATTAAATTATAACTTATATAATTTTAACACCCTGCACTTCTGTAGTTGTGAAAGTTCCCGAGGTCGCACTTTCAGATTGCGTGGAAAATTGGTCAGGGTTGCGAAGGAATTGGGGGGGGTGGGGGAGTAGGGTTGCAATTTCAGCACGGGTGAGATTCCATGCCAGTCGGATGACCAGGATATTTTTTCGCGCAATCCGGATTGCTCAGGGAGTTCCTTGGAAACGCCCGGAATCAGTCAGGAGGTTTGTGAATACGAAACCCTCAAAATCAGGATTTCAGCAGGAAAGACCCGGAATGTACCTGACATTCCGGATGTTTACCCTTGAACCGAGAGCCCTGGTCCCGAGGTCCTCGCCCTAGCTCGTCCTAGCACGTCCGTGCCCTATTTTAGCCAATTCGCTCGTCACTTGTACATGGTTTTTTCCGAGGTTCTATTCCCATTATTGAGTGGATGTTCCATTCCCACTCATAACAGTTTTGATACTCGGCCGGTTACATAACAAACGGATGTTCTGAAGGTCAAAAGCCATGATATGCCAATAAAGCGTACAACCGACATTTTCCAATACATCATGGTCTGATCAGGATCCAGCCATGGTTGCCATTTCTGTAGGCTCCGCCATCTTCCCTCTCAACAGACTGGAATCCATGGCGGGAACTGCAGCAAACGGAGAGATCAATCCCTGGCAAGATGGCCTCGAGTCTCTCGATTCGCCAAGAGTCGTCTTCTCCGTCGCGATCGCCCAAGTCGTCGTGCGACGAGTGATCGCAGGTGCGACTGGCTGTCAGGTTACGCAAGTCTGGGCACAGCCCAAACGACACTCACCCGCAACCCCAGAATTTTTCACGATTTCAATCCGCTCTTTACACGCACTCCCCCGATTGTCTTTCCGGGCCTTTGCCATAAAGATTCTTTCTTTCGCCGACGCTCAGCCCCTCATGTTCTGCCTCGGGCCTTCCTCGTATCTCCTCCCTCCCAACCACACCTTGCACGGCCGTCCGCCGGTCGCAGTTTTATTCTTGCACCCCCATCGCATTCGCCCTCGTCACGCCTCCTTTCCCTCTCTCACCTCCAGCCCCCCCCCCCCCCCCCCCCCCCCTCCCCCCCAATCACACGCACGGAAGACAGCGGGATGAGGGAGGGAGGAGGAGCTCCCAGGTTCTGACAGCGGGGCGAGGGGGGAGGAGCCCCCCAAGGTTCTGACGGCGCGGCGAGGGGGGAGGAGCCCCCCCAGGTTCTGACGGCGCGGCGAGGGGGGAGGAGGAGCACGTCATTCCACTGCGCGCGCGCGGTGCTGGTGGCGCAAGGCTATGGGCAGCCGTATGTGTTGGTTGAGCAGGCTCAGAGCAGATCGTTCACTTTCCGTTCCCTCTCTCCACTCCACCACCCCCACGCTCAGCCGGCGGCGCGAGGGAGGAGCTGGCCTTCGACGGCGTGCACGCGCTGCTGGTGGCGCATGGCTCCATCAGCTGCCGCGGCTGGAGCCTGGAGCTGCCTCATAAAAGGTCCTGCACACTACTTTCCCCTGGCCCGTGCTAGCCCCACCAGGTTCCGAGGGCCATGCAAAGGAGGAGGAGCTGGTGTTTGACGGCGTCGCATGCACTGCTGGCGGCGGGGCAGGAGCAATCATCCCTTGTTCCTCTCTCACACGCCCCCAGCCCTCCCAGGCTCAGACGGAGGGGCGAGGGAGGAGGAGCTGGTCTTCGACGGCGTGCACGCGCTGCTGGTGGCGCATGGCTCTGGTCAGCTGCAGCGGCTGGAGCTGCGCTCTGTGGCTGATGGGCGGGTGCTGCTGCATGCCGCTGTCACCACGACCTTGTGGTGCCAGGTGAACTGTTCGACCTGTCAGTTTTCCTCCTCCTTGTGCTGATAGCCTGTGGCCGTGGTGGTCTCCCTGCCTCTACTGGAGTCACCACCGCCTTCTGGTGCCACGTGATCAGAAGGCTATCTTGCTTGCTATCGAGCTACGAGGGTTCGCCCTGACTCTTGCTTCTTGGCAGCTATGTTCTTTCTTCCTTCCCTGCCCTCCCTGCCCTCCCTTGTCCTCCTACCTCCCTCCCTCCCCTTGTCTCACTCCCTCACTCACTCCCTCCCCGACACCCTTTCCCCCCCCCTTCCCCCATCTTTCCAACCCAAGTCCTCCACCTCCCCTCCCATCCCCCCTTTTCCCAAGCAGCCTCAAACGGAGGTGCGAGTGCACATGGTCACACCCGATGGGACACGATGGGTTCTCATGTTTGCAAGGTACCATCGCTTGGAGGGAATACGCTGCTTATAATAAATGGCCCGTTGTTTCGGTGGCGGCGTTCACATGCTGCTGAAATGCTGATCATGCAAGCCAGCTCATTCGGGGGGGCTGCTGTCTGTAGGCAGTGGCAACAGTGGTTTAGTTAGGCAAGAGTGGCACTTGTTTTCCACTGTGGTTTCCCTTCCCCAACCCCCACCTGGCACCCCTCACCCTGCCTGACGCCCTCTTTCTTTTCCCCCCTCCCCCACCCTCCCCGGCCCCCCTTCCCCGTCTCCCACGCCTCGCCCTCGCACCCTCCTCAGCCCAACGGACTGCTCGGCCTTTCTGCTCAGCATCGGCTTCGCTCGTGCACTCGCCACTTCCCTCTCGGTCCACCTTGCTGCAGCACAAACCTACCCACCACAAGCTTACATCGCAGTACCTCCCACGCTGCAAGTAAGCTCTCTCACTATCCCATCCCATCCCATCCTAGTAAGTCACACTGTCACACTACTTTCTGATTCTGTGGCATGGCGTGGCACCTGCTCAGTTTGAGGGCCTCTGCTCAATTTTGAGGCCTTCTCTGGCAGATGCCCACTGCCCTGGGGACTGGCCTCCTGTCCCTTCAAGCACTCTTATGTTTCTCCGCATATCCTGACTCTCCTGCCTGTCCCAACCGCCAACAGGATGTGCTGCTGAGCTCAGGAGGTCACAGGTCACAGGCAGAGGGAGGCGACACTGTGAGTGATGGGGCTATGGCGCGTGGCGTGGGGACAGCCAGTCCAGCCAGTCCAGTGTTACCCGGGAAAGGGGATCTATTTTTGAGGCGCCTAAAAAAAAGTCCAGTGTTACCGGGGAAAGGGGATGCGGACGTGCGTGTGTCCTTGCATGCACGTACGAGGTGCATGCGTCTGTGTGTGTGCAGTGCAGTGCACATGGCAGGATGTGTTGCTGAGCGTGGCGTGGGTAGTCACAGGTTGCAAGCAGAGGGAGGCGGCACAGTGGGTGTGGGTGGGATGGGAATGGAGCCAATAAGAGGGAGAGATGATAATTGAGCGAGTGTTGAGCAAGCGAGCAGTGCAGTGCAGGGCGCCAGCGAGGCATGCTACCAAAGTTAGACTTATGAAAGAAAGAAATTCCGAACAGAGAGAGCTACAGTAAAGAAGGATGGGATGGGAGGTGGCAGAACCAGCTTGTGAAGGCGCTTAAGGGCAAAGTTAGACCGCGTGTCAGGTGGTCGGTACAGGGTTGGCGAGCTGACCCGTGGGACAGGTCGACCTGACGGCCACTGCACGACCACTGACGGCAGGTGGCACTAGCGAGTTTGGGCGAGATTTGTTAGCCATTCGTTCGTCGCAAACCTAAGTCGTGGGGCATTCCAATTGGTTTCCGAGACTGAGACTGACTGGTAGACGCTATTTTCACCGGTTTTTGGGAGAGCGGGAAATATTGCCGCCAGCGTCAAACTCCCCTGACACCCGGGCAGTATGTGCTTTCACGTGTCAGGTAGGGCTGCACCACATGCTTGACACGCGGTATAACTTTGCCCTAAGCAGCTGTTGCCAATTCCGTTCTTGCAAGCCCCGAAATCCCTAATCTAACAGCTCCCCAACCACCAACAACCACCCCTCCCCTCCCCCTCCCCCCACCCCCCCAAACTGCTGCTCCCCCACGTGCTGCTCCCTCCTCTCCCCCACGTGCTGCTGGTGCAAGAGGCACTGACTGACAGCATGGGTGGCTGACCCTTCATCTGGCCCCTCCTGATCCAGCCCACGCGTCTAGCAATTCCTAAGAAGTACAACCCTGGCGCTTCATCTGTTTCCTCCTGACCTCATCCAACCCTCTACCCCCTCCCCTCCACACTCTACCCTTTCTTTCCGGCCCCGTAACCGGCACGCCACGCCACATGCTGCAGATGCAAGGGGTGATCACACTGACAGCATGGGACCTCGGGCGTAGTACCCAGAGGGCAGCAGTGCTAGGAAGTTGGTTTAAGCAAGCCACAAAGTACAGTCGAAACACCCCTCTGCTAACTTTCCGCCCCCGTAACCGCCACATGCTCACATGTTGCAGGTGCAAGTGGCGCTGACAGCATGGGTGGCTGACCCCTTCACAACACCTCACCTGCCATCCGCAAAACCTTTCCTGGTTACCCAAGGTCCGCCCACTGCACACACTCTGTACCGCACTACTCAGCAGTACACACACAGCACCTGCTCATATAAATAGAATGCCTTTTTTACTGTATTTGCACTGATCTGCAGGTGTATGTCTGTCGTCACCCCTTAGCATCCCTCTGCACCGATGTGCACCATTGGCTATGCCTATGCCTCAGTCTCCTGATAATCATCGTACTCCCACCCACCTGGTCTACTTTCTGACACTGTCTTTATGTCCTTCCAGGAAAGGGAGTGAAGCTGCTACTTGGCGCGCACAAGGCCTTAGAAGGTATCCACTCCACTCCTTCTCTCACGCATGCTTTCTACCCTTCCTCCCACCCCTTCCTCCCACCCCTTCCTCCCAGCTGTTCCTCCCACCCCTTCCTCCCACCCGTTCCTCCCAGCCCTTCCTCCCAGCCCTTCCTCCCAGCCCTTCCTCCCAGCCCTTCCTCCCAGCCCTTCCTCCCAGCCCTTCCTCTCAGCCCTTCCTCCCACCCGTTCCTCCCAGCCGTTCCTCTCAGCCGTTCCTCCCAGCTGTTCCTCCCAGCCCTTCCTCCCAGTTGTTCCTCCCAGCCCTTCCTCCCAGCCGTTCCTCCCAGCCGTTCCTCCCAGCCGTTCCTCCCAGCCGTTCCTCCCAGCCCTTCCTCCCAGCCGTTCCTCCCAGCCGTTCCTCCCAGCCGTTCCTCCCAGCCGTTCCTCCCAGCCGTTCCTCCCAGCCGTTCCTCCCAGCCGTTCCTCCCAGCCGTTCCTCCCAGCCGTTCCTCCCAGCCGTTCCTCCCAGCCGTTCCTCCCAGCCGTTCCTCCCAGCCGTTCCTCCCAGCCGTTCCTTCCAGCCGTTCCTCCCATCCGTTCCTCCCAGCCCTTCCTCTGCATGCGTTTGGGCTAATACTAGGACTGCAGCTTCTCCTGTCGTACCTCCTGCCTCATCTCCCTCCGCCTCCCTCCCATCACCACCACATAAGTGCCATGTGCGAGTGATCACATCCGAGCATCTTTCCGATCATGACTCCAACAATGCTTTGATGTTTTGATGCCCCCATTCCTCTTTCCCTCACCTCATCCATCCCCTATTCCCCCTCACCCCACCCCCCCGGAGCCCCCCTTTCCCACACTACCCACCAGCCCTGGAGCAAGGAATAGTGGGAATGCGCAAAGGGGGGAGGCGGTTTCTTGCTGTGGCTCCAACAGCAACTGGCCAGGGCGACTTCCCTGCCCTCCCACCTACTGTAGGACGACCACCTTCTCGTTTGTCAGCATTTCTGCCAAGTGTCCTCCAATGTTGATTCATCTGCCTCCTTCTGTTTAGCAAACGCATCCATTCGCAGCCGAGTATAGCACCTCTCTTGGCAACAATGACGTGAGCTTCCTCCTATTACTCCACTCTGCCTGATTCTACTTCTGATTATTGTGCCTCTCGTTATTATGGTGCTCTCAGATTTGCAAGTCCCCTGCCCATGCTCCCTCTGCTGTATCTTCTCGTCTATTCCCCCCTCTATTCCGTGACATCACCTTTCATCATGCCTCCATTACTGTGTCTCTCCTCATTCCTCCTCCGCCCTCCCCCCAACCCTTCTTCCCCCCCCCCTCCTCCTCCTCCTGTTACTTCCCTTCTTCCAGCTGCCCCCAAGCTCCCTCCTATTCCTCAGCGTCACTCGTCATCGACTGCGCAAGCCCAGTGCTGACCCTATTTTCTCCGCATCCCCATGCTCTCCCCCCCATTCTTTGTCCTTCCCCTCCTTTGCCCACCCATCCTTCAGCTGCCCCCCAACTCCCTCCTGTTTCTCGACATCACTCTTCATCGCCTGCGCAAGCCAGTGCCGGGATCATCATCATCATCAGCTACTGCTGCTGCTGCTGCCACCCCCCAAGGCCGTCGCAAGTCATCCACCCACTCTCTCCTCCCTCGCTCCTCACCTCCCAGCGAGGCAGACTTAGACCTTGATAGTGACATGAGTGATGCTCTCTCGGTCGCCTCAGCAGCTGACTCCCTCTCCTCCTCCCTTTCCGCCCCAGTGAGCCCGTCTAAGCTCTTCAGACAAGGCTGGCCGCTCTCCTCTGCTTCTGGCTTGCGAGGCTCGGCTTCCTCGCTTGCCTCGGCCTCTGGCAAGACGCCACCTGGCACGCCCCCATTGACGGGGTGTGCTGCCTCGGTGGTCCCCCCTAAGCCTACTGGTGGGCCTTGGCCCGCGGGGCAGAGAGGGGCAGAAGGTGTAAGGGGGGCTGAAGGTGGAAGAGGGGCTGAAGGTGGAAGGGGGGCTGAAGGTGGAAGGCAGGCGGAAGGTGGAAGGGGGGCTGAAGGAACAGTGGGAAGTGAACGGTTAGCAGGCTCAGCAGCAGCAGGGGGAGAAGCAGCAGAACCAAAAGCAGCTGCTAACCTAGCAGCACGCATCAGTGTTTTCAATGATAATCCCGAAGCTGCTGATGATGCTGCTGCTGCTGTGGATGGTGCTGATGGTGCAGATATTGCAGTGAACGGCAACGATAGTGGTGATTCCGAGTCTGATGTCCGTGCTTCAGAAGCTCTTACTGCAGCCCGTGGGCATGATCATGTGTTTGCCGCCCAACTGGAAGTGGTAACAGCTGCAGCCCCCACACCTTCAGCAGCAGCAGCAGCGGCAGCACGTACAGGGCCATCAAGCCAAGGCGAATCAGAAGCAGATGCAGCAAGGACGCCAGTGCAGCCTGTGCTAGCCTCTCACAGGCCTAACGACTCAGATACTCTGAATGCCACCAACTCCCATGCTCGCCAGCCCAATACCTGTGGAATTGCAACAACCTCGACCCGTGCCAGTGCCTCAACTCTAAACACTACCTCCTCTTCTGCCCGCCCCCCGTTCATCCTCCTCCCTCTCCCCTGTATCCTACCATCCCCTCCGCCCTCCTCCATACCACCTCTCACACCACCCGAGCCTAACGATCTCTCAGCACCTATAGGTGGTGCGACTTGTAGGCAAGGAGAGGGAGGAGGAGAGGGGCCGCGAGTGGGAGGGAGAGGAGGGTTGGGAAGGGGAGAAGGCTGTGAAGGTGGGGTAGGGCGTTTAGGAGGGATGGGGTATGGTGGATCAGATTGGTCGGATTCTTTTAGGATACGTGCACTAGAGGACAAAATTGACAGGCTGGCAGACATCACCCGGCTATGGCTTGGCAGGTCAGCCCCCTGGCCAGCCAGGTCCAGACAGGTTCAGAAACTGCCGCCCAGCGGTGCTGGTAGAGGTGGTAGAGGTGGTAGAGATGGTAGGCTGGAGGAGATTGAGGATAGTGCGGGGGAAGTGGATCGCGAGGGCCGGCAGGGAGAGGCGGTGGAGAGAGCAGTGAGAAGACTGGTGTCTCTAGGGGGTGGAGAGGGGAGTGATGTGGTTCAGAGCGGTAAGGGGAGTGGTGGGGAGAGAGGTGCGGATGGTAGCACTCAGGAGGGAGATGGGAAACGAGGCAGACGTGAGAGTTGTGTGGGCCGAGGGGATGAGGTTGAGGGTGCATGTGGGAGTGAGAGAGGGGGAGAGGAGGAGGTAGGTGAGAGAAGACGAGGACGAAGAGGCCAGGGGGGATGGGGGGGAGAGTACGATGCAGAGGAAGGGGAGGAGAGGCGCAAGGATGGCCACAGAGAAGGGGAAGGGGAACAGCAGGAGGCAGGGACTGAGGTGGATGGAGAGGAAGAGGAGGACGGGGGGGAGGAGGAGGAAGAAGTGATACGGGTGGTGTCTCTGGTGTTGGCAGAGAACCGGGAGTTGAGACGAATGCTGAGGCGGAGCCAGGAGAGGGAGTGGAGGGCAGCGGAGAGATGCAGGGAAATGCAAGGTGAGAATGAGCTTGTGTGAAGTGAAGGTACTGGTCATGCAGTCATGCAGTCATGCAGTCATGCAGTCATGCAGTCAGAAGGATGGAGGGAAGAGTGATTTGGGTGGTGAGTCTGGTGCCAGCTGAGAACAGGGAGCTGAGATGCATGCTGAGGAGTGGGCATTTTCGGCATGCAACAGAGCTGTATAGGTCCCCGGTTTATCCTTCTTCCGCTTTTGAGTCGACTCAAAAGTCACCGTGGTAAACATGCTTCCGGAAGTTGGTGCAGAAAGAGGGTGTTCCTCTTGATCGTTCTCCGATTCTTTCAGAAACCAATGCATGTACCCGCGCAAGGTGTACAGGCACGAGGTGTACCCGCGTAAGGTGTACACGCGCAAGGTGTACTCATGCAAGGTGTACTCGTGCAAGGTGTACTCGTGCAAGGTCTACTCGTGCAATGTGTAGGGCCGGGCTCTTTTTCTGAGTGTGGGGCTTTGTATACTGTAATTTTCTCACCACACCAACGTGTTGTACTCTCGGTTTCCTGCTCCTGTCCACCCTGCCTGCTCCGCTCTCTCATCCCTTTTTTTTAGTCGCGTAAAGAATGGACTCCTTTTTCACAGATGCCTAAAAAAACGAGTGCGGAGCTCTCAATGTACTGGAAATCTGTCGGCACGCCACCACTTCGTGCTCTCAGTTCCCTGCCACCCTGCCGCCGCTTCTCACCACCGTTTTGTCCACCTTGCCTACTCCTGCCCACCCTGCCTGCTCCTTCCTTCTCTGCTCTCTCGTCCCCCAACAGGTGAGATCAACCGGCTGAGACAAGTAGGAGTGCAACTGATGGCGACAAACGTCCAGGAAGCAAGGGACTCACCAGCATGCACAGCAGGTGAAGCAGATGGCCAGATTATGCTAAGACTAGATGTGTAGGCAGCAGTCACCAGGCAGCAGGCAGCAGGCAGCTGGCAGCAGGTGTAAAGTTCGTGGCACTGTGAGTGAGGCAATAGTAGTATTGCCCAACTACGTCGAGGTTGAGTGACTTGCTGTACAGTGGGAGGGAGTAATGACCTGCCATGCCATACCTACCTACCGTACTTACTATCCACCTACGCTACATGCAGGGGCAGAAATTGGTTTAGGACCACCCTTAGGAATCAGGGTACTAAAAGTAAATTGCCCTGCCTGAAAGGGTTAAAAATTTCAAACCCTTGCAATTTCAGGGTATTTTCAGGTTTTTAAAAGGCTCCCTGATGTAGCCAGGGTAATTTCCAGCGCACCCTGTTTGTCCTCAGACTCTTGATTACCTAGTCATGCAATCTTCTGCAGAGCATCATGCCTACAAAGCAGGCCCCCAGAAGTCAGGAATTTTTTCCTAATTCAGGAATAAAACAGGGTGTTGAGGGATACCTATCAGAACTCAGTCACTAACCACTGAGTTAAAAGGGCTTTTTAAGTAGCGGGTTAGTGCGCCCATAACCAGGCCCCCAAATTGCAGCCTTTTTACGCTGATTCAGGCTTTTTTCAGCCCTTTTTTCCTGCTGTTCCCTGATTGTGAAGCCTTTTTTTGGTACCCTACCCTGAATTTTAAGCGTTTTTTTTATGGCCTACGCTGATTTTCCAGCGTTTTTTAACTAGTGTACTCTGATGGGTCAGCGTTATATCAGGGGAGGACGCTGATTTGTGTAATAGCGTGATTTGGGGGGTGGGGGGCGTGATTTGTGGTAGTACCCCTATCTCGCCGTCAATCATGCCAGGTTTCGTCAGTGGTCATGATGCTGCCACGAAACCTGCCCTGCTGTCGCCACCACATACATAGCCGGTGCAGCCGATTGGTACTTGACCAGATTCAAGCTGCTCCAGCCAACAACGAGGAAGTTTGGAGCGTAAGGCAGGAACAGACGAGGCACCGCAACCTCGCTGATGCGGACAGCGCGACTGAGTTACGTCATTGATGCATGCACGCACTGCCTCACTCACTTCCCATCTGTCGCACGAAGCGCGTTATTCTTGCACAGTCCCCTTCATCCTGATCTGTTTATTAGCCCTGTCAAAACCCGACAACCCCAGCCTGCTGGGTACAGCGATACCCCCCCTTCCATATTAGCCCTCGTGGGCCATCTCTACCGTTTTGTTATTCAAAACTCTACGGTTTAGCCCCCACCCCACGATGGCTGAAGCCGACGATGACGAGGTAGATGACGAGCAGGAAGAAGAGTATTGGTGTAGCGAGAAAGCCCGCTGCACTCGCTCAGACCTCGATTTTCTGCGACCGTCTGTGCCTGCCGAGAAGACCTCCTCGAAAGCTGCAGACGGAGATGTTGACCCTGCCGAAACGGTCGCATCAGTTCCCAACGCCATTGATGTTTCGACAGACGACCGTAGTCCGATGCTGTCTGTCGTTGCTCCTGACGCTGGCGCTCCTACTGCGACACCTGCTAAGCGTCACAAACGGTATAGGCAGGTGGTCCTGCCTTTCGCTTCGACAACAACCTGCCATCAACCTGCAGAAGCTCCCAGTTCCACTGACCCCAATTCCATTGAGTCTTCTGGCGGCCCGTCAACTCCTGGGCCAGGACCTCTGACTAACGAGGAGGTATATGCCGAGGCCCAGGAGCGCTTTAAGGCCAAGTGGTCAGACCGCTTTCCCTGGCGGATGTTGTTGAAAACTGACGATGGGCTGCCCGCCTTCAAGTGCAGTGTGTGCTCCGTGCATGCAGGACCGGCTGGGCGTACCGGGAAAAGTGGCAAGGGAGCTACTGACATGCAGACGCAGGCTTTCAAGAGGCACTCCGGCATTCAGAAGCACCGTCTCGCCATGAGTCGGCAAGATGACCTTCTGCAAAAGGCCAACCAGCCAAGAATCGACATGCATCCTGCCGCAACCGACGAAGAGAAGGACCGTGTCATCGCGCTGCTCGATTCCCTCTACTTTTGCAGCAGGTGTAACGAACCCATGGAGACATGGATTCGTCTCATTCAGTACTTCTCGCAGCGCGGTTTCAAAGGGTTTCCGAAATCAGCGTTCGGCACTTACTACAACTGGTAAGGCCCTGTCTTCTCTTGCACGGTTGTTCACTTGCCGACTATACCGCATATTCTCACATCATTGTTTGTTCTGACAGGTACGGCTTCGGCGAGCTAACACAGGCAACGGCAACATGGCTGCAGACGACACAACTTCAGCACCTGCTCTCGAGTCCGTTCATTGGGCTCAGCCTCGATGAGAGCACTGATCGTTGCCGCGGAAAGCATATGATAGTCTTTGCGACTTTCATCCGAGAGGGTCGGCTAGTGACGAAGTACCTCGCACTCCTTACTGTTGCCCAGGCCAATGCCGCATCATTGCTTGCACTGCTGCTGTCTCATCTGCAGGCGATTGGAGTGGATCTCAACCGCGTGTCGGGCATCAGTACGGACGGCGCTGCAGTCATGATGGGGTCTCGCGCCGGGCTGGTGGCTCGATTGCGTCTTCGTATCCCGCACCTAGTCTCCTGTCATTGCATCGCGCACAGGTACGTGTACCAGGCTTGCATGCGTTCGTCTGTCTTTTGTGTCTGTTGTACTCAAGATTGTAAGCGCGCTTCTTAACCATGTTTGCTTGTCCTACTGTTCTGTGCAGGGAGGCTTTGGCAGCAAAGGCAGCGGCGGAGGACATCCCTGCCTTCGCCATGGTCGACCACTTGATCCGCGAGGTGGCGGAGCTTCTAGGGTGCAGCGGGCCTTGGCACCAGCGGTTCCTTGATCTCCAGGAGTTTTTCACCCAAACTAACCTGGAGCTTCAAGGAATTCACAACATTCGCTGGCTCAGCCCTGGTGAGGCGGTCATCCGGCTGGTCGAGGTGCTGCCGGCTGTTGTCGTCATGCTCTAGGAGTACGACGACCGGCTCTACCACCTCGTGATGAGCTACCGGTTCTGGCTCTTGCTGATGTTCCTCGCCGATGTGCTGGAGCAGCTCAATGTCCTCAACAGAGTTTTCCAGCAGCGAGAGGTAATGCTTGTCCTTTGTTATATTCGACAGTGTTACACTCAATCCTGTACGTCATATTCGACAGTGTTACACTCAATCTTGTTTTCCACTGGCATAAACCCATTATCATTTCCATGTTCACCATAATCCCGCTCGTGCCTCGCAGCTTGACTACACCATGGTGCACGCGCAAATCGTCCGCACGACGACGCTGTTGGAGAGCCGCTATGTCGACTGTGGTGATGATTTCGGTGGTGGCCCGAACGATCGACTTACACGCTTCCTTGCGCTGCACGGTCCTGGGAAGTCGAGGAGCATCGCTGTGGAGGGGGTCGACTCTGACGACCGTCCTGTGTGCTTCACCTTCGAGCTGCACGAGGAGCCGCTGGAAGACTATCCCGGGCCATGCGACCATGACGGCAGCGTTGGCGCATGCATGGCCTTGGCGGAGGGGCTCGTCCGCAACATCGACGAGCAGCTGGGTGACTTGCAGCAACTGTCGGGGGTGCGCCTCTTCTGTGTCGACACGTGGCCTCCCAATTGGGATCGGCAGGCACGGAAGGCGCAGTGCCTGGAGTGGTTCAAATCGGTGGTGACGCTCTACCGCGCGGACGACAGGGATGAGATTCTACCTGGCGAGTTCTCGTTTACAGATTCCATGTGATCTCGATTCCTTGTTTTCTCGGTTTCCTGTTTTCCATGTTCCTCATCTTCCCGGCTTCTCATCTTCCAGGTTTCTCGATTCTCGGAGTCCTTGTCTCTCCCCCCCCCCCTGCCTTCGCGGTTCCGCTCTTTGCACCTCTTTGTGCTTCTCTTGTACAGGCATAGACAAGCGCAAGGCCCAGCAAGAGCTGCGCAACTTCGTTCCAGTACTGGCAGGGCTCCCAAGGGCAGGCAGGAAGTTCCACACTAGCCTCACCGCCTTGCTGAAGACCCAAGACTGGAGGGACAGCTATCCCAATCTCGTCAACCTGTGGGTGGCAGTGGCTGTCCTGCCACTGTGCACAGTGGAATGTGAACGCGGGTTCTCCCGCCAGAATGTCATTAAAAGCTGGCTGCGGGGTGCCTTGAAGGACACCAGGCTCTCAGATCTCATGTGCATGTCAATGCTAGAGTATGAACCAGATTGGGAGGAGGTAGTCTCCATCTGGAGGTCTTACAAGAAGAGACGGCCCCTGAGCGATGCCCCACCTGCCAGAGGTGAGGGTAGTAGGAAAGGCAAGGAGAAGATAGTTGATAAAGACGACGTGGCAGTTGAGTTGACCACTGTGGTTGAGGATGAGGAGATGTGATGTGATGTGCATTTGCCCATTAATAATGATATCCTTCTCGCTCAGCGTTTTTCTACAAGGGGACACTGATTACAGTACACACTGATTTTCCAGCATTTTTTTCGGTGGCTACACTGATAACTAAGGCAAGACAAGAGACGGGACGCTGAGCAATCAGTGTCCCCCAAAACCAATTTGGGGGCCTGCCCATAACCCCCCAGGCTCTGCACCTGTAACCCTTCCCTGAGGACCAAGGGCAATCCCAGCGTGTATCATGACACCCCCCCTCGCTGGGGTAGGCGGAAGACACAAGCGCCTTTGCTGCGCTGCCACCTCTCCGGTGTGCGCTGGGAATTGAACCTGGGTGGTCAAGTCACCCAGCTCTGATACCATATCAGAACTCAGTCACTAACCACTGAGTTAAAAGGGCTTTTTAAGTAGCGGGTTAGTGCGTCCATAACCACCCAGGCTCTGCACCTGTAACCCTTCCACGAGGACCAAGGGCAATCCCAGCGAGTATCATGACAATACCAGCCCTGATTTGCTAGGGTTTTGTTTTTGGCATTTCCTGAAATTTCAGGGTTTTTTTTTTATGGGATATCTGTCAGCTCAGTTTTTCTTTGTAAGGGATCCTGAAATTTCAGACTTGTATCAAGCATGGTTTCTGATTTTGTCAGACAAGTGATTTGCGGGTCCCCCCCAAAACTACAGCGATATGCGCATATTCACCCATAAATCTGGCCTGACTGCCAGGTTCCCGTTGGCATGCATCGTTTGGTTTGGTGACTCACATGTTGCCGCGCTGCCTCACAGGATTGGTCCTTCTCAAAGTTTGGTTTGAGGGTTGGCCAGCACCCAGTTTGGCTGCATGCGTGGATTGGTTGCCCATGTAAATGCTGCCTGAATAGCTAATCACTGACGGAAACGTATACCCAGCGGTGATAACCCAGCTTCCACCACCACACTCCGGTTCGATGCCGACGCGCATGCGCTGCGGTAGTTTCGGTCCGGATTCAAGAATCTAGGAAGCCAACTGTGCGTGGTTGGCAAACTGTTCGCGCCTTG